CAGAAACAGTACTATATAACATTTTAGACACATTCTAGACAGTTTATCAGCTAAAAAAAGTTAATTTTGGGGTAAGTTACTCTTTAAGCAGCAAATAATAAAAAATGTGTTTTTACTGCATTTTCAGGCCTGTCTGTTGAGCTGCAGTCAGTCCTGCGGATGATGCTGACCCCGGAACCATCGGAGAGGCCAACCGTCTGCGAGCTTCTCGCTCTCCCCTCTGTTAGAAAACACCGGTGGAAGAGGCGCATTTATCTCATGGCTGCGGAGGCAATGCTGACACTGGTCTCCTTGTGCCAAGTAAGAATTTAGTCACCGTTTTATCCCTTTCTTTACTCTAACATTCAACCTAAATATCTGTGAACTGTTTTCCTCGTCATAGTGGGTGGCGTGCTTTGGATGCAGGCTCCTCTCRTCGTTTCACTTATCCTTCCTCTCACGCTGGACCAAACCTTTGCCCTGCACTCCTCCTAAGGGCAGCTGGGACAGGGATTTAACCCTCAGCTCCATGCACACTGACCTGGAGAGTCTCGAGGATGACGCTGTTTTTCTGCATCATGCAGACCCAAAACTTTCCCCCACGTTTTCACACAGGTAGAGCCGTCACGTTAATGCTACGCTTTTCCTTTTWACCGAAAACACAAAGTAATCCTCCTCCTTTGTGAGTGACTTGTTTGTAAACTCGCCATTTTTTTTTTATTTCTGTCAAGTTATACTTTGTCTTTCTTTCCCTCAGGGTCAAATCCACACTAGAAGTCACATCCACTCCTCTCCCGGGTTCACCGATACGCAGTCGCCAAAGTCCCGCCCACACACCCGCTCGCTCAAGTCTGTGTGACTGGTCTGACTTGGCCCTGTCTGACTTGGCCCTGACCCCTTCCAGTATCCATCCAAACGGCTCCTTCCACACACTCACGCCCAGCGACAGCCCCACACACACCGGCCCGTCGTTCACCAGTTCCTCAGAGCGATCTGGTCGTAGCTGGGTCCGCACAGAGGAGCCCGTACCCCGACTCAACTTTGAACCAAAGAACCTGTTGAGTCTGTTTGAAAAGACAACGGAAGAGGAACAGCCTGAGCCATGAGTACAAACTTTACCTTCACGTCGGGTCAAGAAAAAAACAAACGCATAAGCTTTACTGTTGAACTTTTTTTCCCCCCCCCGCTGTTTTTTGTTCCAGCAGCTTATTTTAACATGTTTTTGAAAAAAGATTTAAATAAAAGGTCTGAACATGTAATCAGACCTTCAAACACTTTTACGTTTGTGTGAACGCTGTAAGTTGCTGATCTAGCATGGCATGATTTATATTTGGATAACTTCTCTGTAGCCTGTTGAACTCGAGTCATTTACAACATGAGCTACAAAAATAAACTTGTGGAATGTGTTGTGACGTTAAAGCTCCTGCAAACACAAACTTTGGTGTGTTTTGTTTTCTTGGTTCATTTACAGTTTAGTTTGCAAGCCAGAGATTTGAATTGTGGCTCATAGTTAATAAAATAGCTTTAGTTGWTTTTAGTTTTTGCATCATTACTACTAGATGCCAATCAATCACTGCAAGCTTGATATAAWCTTTTTAAAACTTCAAATAGCAAATCTCTCATTTTTAGGACGATTAATCCTTTTTTTTTAAATTAGACTACTAAAAGGAAAAGTCTCAAGGGAAAATGAAACATTGACAAAGAAGAGTTTCAATATTGGCATAGTTAAAATGCTTAGTTAAACTTTAAGCTTGAAGCGCTGTGTGGAATTTATTTAAGGCTGCATTTTTTTCACATGAATGATTATATTAAGATTAAATGGGGTTATATATTTAATGACTGACCTAAAAATCTACATTTTTATAAAATGTCAGCACTTTTAATGGTTCTAGAACAGCTGAAATAAAATTCATATTAAAACTGGATATGTAGTTGCAAAAAAGTATTTTAT